ACCCGTTCTGGATTTGGAACGGCCCGTTCTGGGCTAGTCTGTTATGGGTAAAATAAGAAACTGGAACGATCCGTTCCAAAAGTGGAACGACCCGTTCTGGGTTCGAATTTTACTTACAACAAGCTGTTCTGGAACGGCCCGTTCCAAACTAGGGTTTTAGGCCCATTTGATGATTTGGAACGACCCGTTCCATTTTTAGAACGGCCCGTTTTGGGAAAGTTTGTTATAGATAAAATAAGAATCTGGAATGGCCCGTTCCTAAGGTGAAACGGCCTGTTCTGGGTTCAAATCTTATTTATAACATCCTATTTTGGAACGGTTCGTTCTATTTTGGGAACAGCCCGTTCTGGTCTTGGAACAGCCCGTTCTGGGCTATCAGAACCAGCTTATTTAGGGTTTAGGTCTTCTGATGTCATGTCCTCTTGTTTCCATGCTTCGGGAGCTCCTTTCCTTGATAATAGACATCTATTTCATTGCTTTTGTGAGCCCGGATGAAATTGGGTGTCTACAATTCCTCTCAAGGAAGTCTCGACCCTAAACGGATATCATCTTTTGCACCACAATCACTACTAGAATTTCTCTTATTACATGCGACTTTTCCTGCAAATTTTTATGAAAAATTTGTAGGAAAACGTTGTTCCTACAAAATTTTATCTGTAGGTAATACCTTCGTGGATAATATATTTTTGCAAATTTTAAAATTTGCAAGAAATTTTCCTGCGAAATTTCATGTAAAAAAATTCACAGGAAAGTTTCCTGCAAAAAAAAATTCACAGGAAAGTTTCATGCAAATATTTTTGCAAGAAATTCTACAAGAATATTTTTTATGAAAAAAATTATAGAAATTACTATAAATTCTATTAATAATTCTTCAACATTCAAATGCTCACAATGAATTCATCCGAAGCATTTGTTTCCATGCCTCCAACATGTGTTACATAATTTTTTAAATTCTAAGATTGTAGATTATAAGTCTAACACTCTATTAAGTCAGACGTAGCGCATTCGCAATTCCTACCAAGGTTTTCAATATGAAAAATATAATACATATTGTTATTACTAACATGTGCATTAGTGTTTCAGTTGGATAACGAAAAGTCCAAACAATGGGATATGTTCAAGCATAATCTGGCTAGACAAAATGTCAGATGATAGAAAGGCCAGCATCAAGACTAAGGCTGATTCAGGCTCGAATCCAATACAAAGTTTACCAACAAAAGCCTGAGGCATCAGATGCGTATTGGCCAATACATCGATATGAATGTATTTTTTATAATTACTGTATATGTATGTTGGGGTAGAGCGTGTCACACGGGCCGTTCCAAAATATGACCGTTGAGAGTTTTAATGCAAACCCTAGAACGGGCCATTCTGGTTTGAGAACGGGTCGTTCTGGATGTGAATTTTACACATGACGTGAGATTTCAGAACGGGTCGTTCTGGATTTGAAACGGGGTCATTCCGCGAATCCTGATGCCTATAAATTGAGTGCTCTAGCACTCCTAAAATCATATTTTTCAGTTCTGACTTCTTTCAGTTCTGACTTGTGTCTTCTACATTCTCTTCTTTCCCTTCTACACTCTCTAAAAATTGTGGGGCACTTAAAGGAGGAGACCAAGAGATCTTTGTTTTGGTTTCAACTGCTGTTTATCCAGGTACGGGGGAAAAGGGAATTCTTTATATGTAGAGTTACATGAGGGAATTGGGTAGAGGAAGAGCCCTTAAGATTTTGAATAATTTTATAATTATTTATGTTTAGAGAATTATTAGTTTTATGTGATTCTGTATGAATTTAGGATTATGAATATATGATTTATTTGTAAAAATGATGCTCTGGGAGAGAGAACGAAATTATAGAAAAGTGCCTGTAAGTTAGGTTTTGGAAAAATTGGATTATTTCTGTTTGAGAAATTGATGATCCCATTAGATTCTGTATGTGTTGAGGATTAGAAATATATATTTAATTTGTAAGAATGATGATCTGAGAGGGAGAACGAAACTGTAGAAAAGTGCCTGTGAGCTAGGTTTTGGAACAATTGGGGGTTTTACCGTTATGTTGAAATTATATTAAATTGGTAATTCCGTTGAGTATTATATTAATTTATGAATGTTATTGTTATATTACTTGATAAAAATTGATGATTTAGATGTGAATTGCTTGATGTGTATGAAACCCATTATTTTGGACTTATTTGATGTGTGTATGGAATTGAGCTATGAGATGAGATGTTGTATGGATGTGAATATGATTGTGATTGTGGTTCCTCACATCAATGACCAGGGATGGCATGGCCCCTGGGTAAGTGATGCTACAGGGAGGGCATGACCCTGGCATGGTGTGGGATGAGTGAGACAATTGACACGTATCACTTATGTCAAATATGGCAACCCTGACATAGGGTTAATTGCAAGAGAATGTGTGGATTGTGATGTGATTGTGGTTCCTCACATCAATGACCAGGGATGGCACAACCCCTGGGTAAGTGATGCTACAGGGAGGGCGTGACCCTGGCGTGGTGTGGGATGAGTGAGACAATTAACCCATATCACTTATGTCAGTTGTGGCGTGGCCTTGGCATAGTGTTAATTGTAAGATTTGTGTGGATTGTGATGGATTGATGTAATTGAGATGTGAAGATGATGAATGATTGATAAATTATGATATATATAAATGCTTGTGAATATTTCATTTAGTAAGGAGTTATGATGGATTATGTTGTGTTTTTCCTTGTGTGCTTTCCATATAGATGTTTTCTTTTCTCACTGTATAATTTGTGGATGTTTTAGGTGAGGAAGATCCGGCTTTCAGTGGCATCTAGAATGCCAACCATTGAGTTATGAGTGTGCTCTGATATTATGACATCGGGGCAAAGGATTTTAGGATAAATTTTTATATGTATTTAGAGTTATACCTTCTCTTTTGAAAACAATTTGTAAACTCTCAAGTTTTACTTTCAAAATTTCATTTTTAATTATTTTGGTTATTTATGAAGGTTTTATGTGAACCCTTTTTACCATTGTTGAGTATTTTATTCTTTAGTTAATTACAAGATTTATTTATATATATGTTGGGGTAGTAAGGGTGTCACAGGAGGCTTAGTTAAGTTCATTAATATTGTGGTAAGCCCATACCGAATTGTTCTACCCTGATAGTAATACTAGACTTTCTTATTTAAGTGGCGACATTTGAGAAATTAAGTTATTGTGTTGTAGATTGATATCGAATTTGTTGTTTATCTAGTAAGACCAAAAAGATCACCTTGTATTGGTTCAGCAGGGACAAACCACTTAAATTACTCACTGTGTTGTATGAGATCTCTAGTTGAAATACGTAATGATGAATGTAGTTGTCATGTTGTATATATTGTGTTTGGTATGCATAATGTTTTTACTTTTCTAAGAATCTTAAATTGGGAAATTTGGTTCCCCATGTTTGGGGATTGGTAGCTATTTAAAAAAAAAATCCCAAGAATATAATTTTTCAGGAACCATTTTTATCTCACTTTCTCACAAAAATATTTCATGGAGGTGAGAATCCAACTTTTTTGAGTTAGAAGAAAAGTTTTATGCATATAAAAAGATAATATTATCCTTTTTAAAACAAAAAAAAATCTCTTATTTATCTCTTTTTCTATTTTTATTTCTCTTGCTCCCTCTATTTCTTTCTCTCACTCTCTCTCCCCCTCTCCTTCTCTCTCTTTCTCCTTATACTTTTATTTCTCTTCCTCCCTCTTTCTCTATCTCTATCTCTCTCACTCCCCCCTCTCTTCCTCTATCTCTATCTCTCTCACTCCCCCCTCTCTTCCTCTCTCCTTCTCATATATTTATTTCTCGAATCAGGATCCTCTCCTGCCATATACGTACATCGTCTCTCCATCAGGATCACAACCGTCCATTTTCTTATACATGTAACAGTTATAAATAAAATTTCATTTTTTCTCTTTAATATTTTCACGCGAATAAAAATTCATTAATCAGGATCCTTTTGTTCCATTTTTTCTCTTTAATACTCGACCATGACAACATCACGTAGTTCACTCTCGAGCTCAGGATCTGCGTCCACGTCCAAGGCGGTGAAGCTCGTCGACAGCGAGAAGACCGTTGTGCTCTTGTCACCGGCGATTTTTCGCCACCTCGGCAACACAGCCGCATTCCTGGCGGACGTGCGGAGGATCTTGCCAGGCGTGGTGGTTTTTGTGGACGGTGAGGGCTGGGCAGAGGTAGCGACTGCGAAGGTGGCGTCGTTCCGGCGCGGCGTTGTGAGCAGCCTAGAGTACTACTCGATGATGTTGGAGTCGTTGGACGCTTCGATGGTGGTGGGAGGAGGGGAGTGGGTGAGGAGATTAGAGATGCTGTAGGTGCGGCCGAGGATTTTGGCGGTGGTGGAGAGCGCGTGGCGGCGGATGCCACCGTGCAAATTTGGATCCAAATTCGAATAGTGCAACAATTTTATTTATGGTTTTAAAAAGCAAGTGTATGAAGGATTTCTGGTTGGCGGTGTTGGCGCTATTGAGGAGACCAATGTGTGGCCGCGTGTTCACCGTGGAGAAGAAGGACTGGTTGGAGAATGAGTTTCAATTGAAAATGATATTGTACTGCTCCAATTTATTTGAAATTATATTCCTATTATGTAACAATTTTAAGCAAAATTGGTTGCTGATTGCATTTGTTTTGTGTACAATTATAAATTACTTGTTATCGGTTGTTGTCTAATCTGAATTGTAATTAGAATTGCATAATAAGTGACACATCAGAATTGCAAATTACTTGTTAATGGTTGTTGTCTAATATGAATTGTAAATAGAATTGCATAATAAGTGACACATCAGAATTGCAAAGAGTGTGCAATATCAAAATTACAGAGTGTGCAATAACAAAAATGCATAAATTGAATTGCCTAATTAGGAACAAAACATAATTGCGAATAGCTTTGAATATCATCACAGAATGGTCAAAAAGCATTGCAAGTAGCTAGTTGTTGTAGCTTTTAATTTACATCTCTATGAATTGGTCAAAGTTGTGATATCCCTATCAAGTGGTGCCTACAATTTAAAAGACACAAGTTAATATTTTAAATACATATATGAAACCAGTAAAATCTGCAAGTTATTAAAATGTTTGTGATATCCCATCCAAATTATTGAAACTTACCATCAATAAACTAGTAAAACTAGTAACACTAACTTGACTTGAAATATCATTGATTTCCTACACAAAAGACAATCAATTAATCACTAAATATTTTTTCGGTTTGCTCACAATTAAATTTCTATTAGCTTACCATAGATTGTTGTTGTTTGTATGCATCATTAAGCCACGTGGATGCACTTATATTAGGCATTTCTAAATTGTACTCTATCCTCTCCTTCACAAATTTTGAACCTTGTTTACTCTCATTATTCTGCATACAAAAAAAGAGAGTTTATGTATTTGAGTAAGCTAATGCATGGTAAAATTCATAATTTTATAATACCTTAGTAAGATCTTGATCTTGTGAAGCACTTGAGTCACCCTTTTTCTTTCGTTTACTAAGTTGGCGTTCTACCCAACCTTTCAAACGCTTTGAACCTTTTCTACCTTCTTTTTTCTTGAACCCCTTTACTTGTATTGAACCATCATTGTTTCTTGCAATATCTATAACATTACTAAGGAACTCATTAACTTGAGTATTACTTACTTGTTTATTTTGAAACTTTAACATTTCCTTGTCCAATAAATCAGTAACTTTGCTCAACAACGTGTATGTTTCTTGACTCCTACATGCTTCATCAACTATCTTCATAAGACGGGGACAAATGTCTCTACGACGTTGTGTTGAAGTCAATTGAGCATCTTCTACTACATGACGAACACTAACATTAGGTAAAGACACACTTCTTGCTAACTTTGTCCACCTTTTCAGGATATATTGCTCAGGCACTGATTTAACATCCATATGAATAAAGACTCTTAGACAATGACAACAAAGTATGCCAAATGTCTCAAATTTACAACAAGAGCAATGAATTATCTTTTTATCCAAATCAAATGACACTTTCCATTCTCCCAAATCCTTTACCATGGCAATAACACAATCAACTAATGATGCTTTTACATTTATGCTCTTAACAGAACATGCTTCAAACAACTCATACTCATGTTGGAATAACTCAAAAATAGTAGGAGTATAAAGCTCAGACACTTGTTTCAAGATATCAGAATATGGGTTCTTGAGTCTTGGAATTTTTTGACGTGCTTCATATTCACACTTCAATTCATTATACCATTTTTCTTCTACAACATCCTCAAAACGATTAAAAAACTTGATAAGATCCAAATTCACATTGATAAAACTTTTAATATCAGCATTCACACTTTCACTAAGTTGGGTGCTTCGCATTCCCAATGTGAAAGCCTTCTTCAGGTAACAAGATGCCCATTTTTCCCTCACAGAATACACTCTTTGCAACCAAGTGTTTTCCTTAACATCAAACTTTTCAAGGAGGTTTCTCCAACCTTCCTCAAATTGTTCTTCATCATCATAGCCATACATGCATTTCTTAAAGTCACTAAGAAAATGTGATTCCCCCTTCATTAAATTGCCTAAGTGCTTGATGCCATTCTGCATCAAGTGCCATGTACATAAGCCATGGTAAGTTTCAGGAATAACCTCAACTAGTGCTTTTGCCATTGCTTGGTCTTGATCAGTAAAAATTGTTTGGGGTCTTTTTTGTTTGTGTGCCTCCAGAAATGTTTTAAAAAGCCACTTATATGACTCTGTTGTTTCATCATATAATAGTGCAGCCCCAAAAATCACTGCTCTTCGATGGTGGTTAAATCCTGAGAACACTGCTAGTGGTCTATGCGAACTATTTGTGCAATATGTTGAATCAAGAGAAAGCACGTCACCAAAATATCCATAATCAATTAGCATCCCCGCATCTGCCCAGAAGACATTAGTAATTTGATCTTCGACATCTAGTTGATAGGCATGATAGAAAGGTGGACTTTCAACCAACTTTCTTTGAAAGTATTGCAAAAGATAACCAGCTTCCCCGTGTACCAAGCTCCTTTGCCTTCTTTTTCGGAGATAGTTCTTTTGATCAAGGCGAGTATATCCCAAGTTAGTTCTTCCTCCCACTTCTTTACTCATCAAATCAAATGATTTTCTTTGTTGTAAGCCAGCATCATCTGCTAGATCAATTTGCTGACATTGAGCTTCTGAAAGTTTTTGTTGAGATGACAACATATGAGTTGTTTCTTGTATATGTAAAATATGGTTGTGTTCCTCCTCAAAATCATGCACTATCAATTTTCCACACATGTTTTTAAGTCCCAGCCTTGCTTTACAATTTGTTCTGGTCTCCGATCTTGGATTAATTGTTTTATAATCTCGTCTGTCTGGCTTTCGCAAACCTTCTTTGCAACAAACAAACCTACAACATGAAATTGAGCCATCTTTTTGTTTGTGTGTATATTGTTTCCTTACTCCAAATCCAACTCTCCCGCCATAATCAACCCAAAACTTCCAAGCATCCTCAAGGCTATCAAAAATCATATCCAATTTCGGCTTCCAATCTTCTTGCATCTTAAATCAATAATTTTGCATTTGCCATAATATAATAAACAAACATAAAATTATTAATCAAGATGCTAACGTTTCAAAGTGGATTTGCGAACGTTTCAAGCATGTATTGTTATAAATGAAAAATAGTGTTGGACATATTATGAGACAGAGAGACACATATAGGACAATCATTCTAAACATTTAAAGATTTATTAGTTTGCGTAAATATCCTATTTATTTTTCTTTCATCAACAATGTAACATTAATAGAAAAATTATTAATTATTGGACTTTATTGTTCTTTTATCAACAATGTAAGATTAAAAATTATCAATGTAAAAAAAAATTACGTTTCTATCATCAACCATCTTCTCACTCTCAAATAATTATTGAAACTTGAAAGAATTTTTAAAATAATCACATACATATATTTTTACCTTTCAAGATAATTCCCAGCAATTTTTGTTATTTGCCAAGCAATTTGAGTCAGTCCGAGACGTGTGCTCTGTTTTTCTGTTTTGGTACTGAGTTGGTGTCAGATGTGTGCTCTGTTTTTCTGTTTTATATACAAAGCTATAGCATTTATGTAACAATGGCGCGAAAGAGGGAGATGAACTTTCATCTATTTTTCTATTTTGTTTGGTGCCAAAAAGGAAGACGTGCCAAAAAGGAAGACGTGCCCAGAAAGGAAGACGTGCCCAGACGTGTGTTTTGTTTGGTGCCAAAAAGGAAGACGTGCGGACTTTCCAAAATCATAAATGAAATTGCTGCAGTATTCCAAATTCGCACTATTTACGGAACGAGAGGATCTAATTAATGAATTTTTATTCGCGTGAAAATATTAAAGAGAAAAAATGGAATTTTATTTATAGTCGTTAGATGTATAAGAAAATGGACGGTTGTGATCATGATGGAGAGACGCTGTACGTATATGGCAGGAGAGGATCCTGATTCTTATTTCTCTCTCTTTTTTATATTTCATTATTTTTTAACCTTATAAATTTTAATAATATTATTAAAATCTATTTTGTTTTTACAATTTAATGATATTTGAATGAAATACAATAATATATATTTATCCTTCTTAATTATTATGTAACATTTTTCTTTGTTTATTTATTGTTTTCAACTTTTTAAAATAGTTTAACATCATATTTGTGATAAGATTTAAGTAAATAAATATATCTAATGAATTTATTTTAATAAAGGATATTTTTATAAAAAAATTTAAATACTTAAGAATATATTATTATAATCAAACATAAAACTTTTTAATTTTTGAAAATCTTTATAAATACTTTTAAAAATATTTATGAGTAATCAAACATATTTTAACTATTTTCAGGAATTATGATTTCTATAATTTGTAAACTTTATAAAAAAAAAATTTCCACTATCAAACATCTCTTAAATTATTAGTCATCTTTTGCCATTAATCGATAAATCGTTAAGTGAACATGGCATCCATATACTTTTGAATCAATGTAAGAAAATACATAATGTTAGGAAGGTAACAGCTAACTGAAAAAGAAAAAAAAAATCCCAAATAAATAACATATCGACGATAGATTTAATAACTTTTTTACATAACAAAACAGACTATGCATTAGTTTACTGTGATTTTTACTATGCCATCAGTCAATCATTTATGATAAATTTATTAATTTTTATTATTCATAATATCAATAGTAATTTTTAACTCGAAGAATCAAAGAGAACGAGTAACATCATAACTCGAAGAAAAATGGTACTGTTTTTAGCATCAGGCAATTAAGCGGAGAATTAAAAACATTTTAATTCGTAAGCAATAAACTAATCATCTTGGGGTCAGTTATCCCATTTTTTAATTCGTAAGCAATAAACTAATCATCTTGGGGTCAGTTATCCCATCTTTTGAGATGCGTTTAACGTAGGGAGGAGATTAGTCACTGCTATCAGTGGTGGATATTCTAGGGACGAAAAAAAAAAAAAAACAATAAGCCAATCACCAACGGGCAGAAAATAAAAGTTATTAAAAACGAATTTATGTCTATCCAAGATGCTAAAACGGTTATGTTTCACATAAACTTTTTTATTTCTGAGATAATTTTAAAAAACAAATATTTGTCATTTGTCAAACGTTAAATAAATTATTTTGCATAGCATCAAGCTATTCAACTCATGTTCATGCACGTAGCTTCTTTGAAAGTCAATAATACAAGTTGATATGTATAAATCATTATAAAAAACCTAAAATTAATCGATGTATATCTTCGTGTATTTTGTAGTACTTCATATTTACAACAAAATGTAACTGAATTAAAAGTCCCCACTCCCCACTAAGGAACATGTTTTTCAACCTATAGACAAGTATCTTTTATGCTTTTAAAAAAAGACTGCTAATTGAAATGAAAATAAATAGTATCTCACTCTTTATTACATACCAAAATTTGGAATGAAAATAAAAATGGATTTTGAGAAATGCCCATAGCACCTTTTTAAGCACATTTAATTTAATTTAAATATTAAAAATTATAAAATGATTTTTTTCAATATACTTTATTTAATGATTTTTTTTATAATTACTAATAAATTTTATTCGATAAAAAATATTATTTCTAATCATAATTATAAACAACAAATTCGACTTTTTCTTTAGTTTCAATTTTAAGCAACAATCAACATATTTCAAAGTTATTCATATATAATTTTTTATATTATTTATTGTTAAGTCTATTTATTTTGAATTTACTTATTATTATATAACATATGTCCAATAAAAAATATATTTGAAACAAATTTGAATTCATGATAAAATTAATTAAAAACTACAAATTTATTTACTCTTTATAGGGTTAACTTTGAGTTTTTTTTCCTTGAAAATAAAGGTTCTTATAAATATTTGGATATTACTTATAACCCTAATTCTCAAATTTAAAAGTATAAACTAATAAATAGTTAAATACATATTTGCATAAAAAAATGATAAAATGTAGTAAAATTGTATTAAACTGAGTTATCATTAAAAATTATTATGTAATAAAAAAATAGATCAATAATAGTGTCACATCATAAAGAAATTTATGACAGAAAGATGAAGACTTACAATTTGATTGAGATTTTATCACAGTAGGATATGTCATGATTTAAAAATCAGAAAGAAAATAAAATAAATTAAAGATAAAGGAAAGAAAAGACAAAATTAAAGACAACTCTTATTTATGATTTTATGTTAATACTTATAGAAATTTACATTAAGAAAGAAAGAAAAAAGGAAATACGTTATTAATGTATTACACTTTTTTATCTTTATATTTAATATTATTGATTTACTTTCCTAAAATTATTGGTAGATTTTTGTTGACTAGTGAAAAAATTGATTATTGATTAATTATTCATTATTTTTTAAATAAATTTTAATAATTCATATATATATATATATATACACACTTTTTTAATATTAAGTTGACTAGATAATATTTTTTGGTACTAGCCTGAGCACAAGGCTACCACTTTTGGTCTTGATAATTTGTCCTATGTTACTTATAATCAAAAACTAAATGTAATATGTTGAAGAAAAAGAAATATGATAAAGAGACATGTATGAGTTTTTTTTTTGTTGTCTCAAAATAATATTAATATATCAACAACATATTTATTGGATATCTCATATCAACTAACATGATAACCATAATTATGTATATAAGTGGGGAACGATCCCTAGTTTATAAATATATTTTGTAAGGTTAAGTTAGTTGCTAGTTCACTTTTTTTATAGCACCAAAGCCTATAATTGAGTTTATTAGGCCATTTACTATTAAGTGTCATTAGGTTTATTAGATTGTCTACTATTAGAGATTATTAAATCACTTGTCTAGTATTTGATTAGAGAGGGTGTAAGAATAATTAATGCCTAGTAATTGATTTTGTAAAGTTAAGTTATATTCTAATATATTTTTTTAATCAAAATAATATTTTTAATATATGCTTTGTTATTAATTAAAATTTATTAAAATTATAAAATTAAGAAAGAGATTTGGTAAATAAAAAATAAAACTTATTAAAATTTATATAGTTTTTTTTTATAATAAATTTTAGAAAATAGTAAAAAGTATATTATTAAATTATGAAATACTATCAATTGAGCAATAAGAAAGTTTAATTCAATTAATTAAGTAATATGTGTGAACTATTATATCAATATTGGTTGATATAAGTAGTAATAACTTATTTTCTTTAATCAAGATGTTCTAGGTTCAAATTCTAGTTTTGGAAGTATGAAATAAACTATATTGAAATAGAAATACTTATTTTATATGAAAAGATTAGTGATTACATTGTCATAAATATTTCATATCAATACTATAAAAATAAAATAAAATATGTGAGCTGTTATACTCCCTTTAATCCTAGAATATTTGAAAAAAGAATCTGTGTAGACCTTCATTTTATTTATTAATTTTGTAAGACAATGTTTTAAACTTTTAATTGTCTCTAAACATGTCAAATAAATTTTCAAAATTAAAATTTGTTAATCACGTTAATTCCTGCTATTAATTCCATTAAAGACATTTATATTTAGACATTGTAATGATAACGATAAGCTATAGATTTTAAAAACTAAAAAAAGTTTTAATTTAAAATTAAAAAAATTTGTATAACATTTGTATTTAATTTTAGGACTATTACAATACAATACACAACTTTCCTCATTTCATATTCATTTCCATTTGTAATAAAAAACTAAATAAATAAAAAAAATTGATTTGCATTTTTCATTTTGTTCAAAACTCCTGTCTCTATTGGAGGAGTTGGGGTAGTTAGAAGCACGAAGATCTAGGTTCAATTTTGGTTTATAATCATTTCTATCTTTAAAAAAACAAAAAAAAAAAAACTCCCGCCTCAGTCTCCACCCTTTCTCAATTCTCACTACTCTTGGCCAAGCTGAAGAAGCTCTTCAAGGTTGCATGATTCGAGATTCCTTCCTTCTCTTCTCACAATGAAGCCCTCTCGCAGACCCAATAAACCCGATACCGTCTCAAAGGTTTTATTTTATTCTTTCATTTTCAAAATTTCACTGTTAATTTGCGTAATGAGAAGTGACTTGACTTTTCCCCCCCAAATCCTACGTAATCGTTCTTCTGGGTGTTACATAACAATGCGCCTTTTCAATTTTGAGCCACAAACCCTAGCAATGTTTGTTTCTCCAGAAAATTAAGGTAGAAACCGCGAATGGGCAACATTCTGCGGTTAATTTTTTCTTTTTCGGTGCGAAGCTCCGAATCCAGAAGCCACTTTCGACCCCGGATGATTCAGAGTCGTGGAGAACTTAATGGCCAGTGATTTTGTGCTTTTTGTTTCGTATAAAGTCTGAAATATGAGAACTTGCTCAAAGAGAATATAGTTGTTGGCAACTTGAACTAACAAAAGATGGTTCATGGTAAATTTGTGCAATGCGTGGTACTGAGTAGTTTTTTTTTTTCTTCCGCCAAGTCAATGCGTAATTGCTCTTTGGGTGCTTCTTATATTTGAACTATTTTGAGCGATGTGCATCTTGGTTTGGTGATCATAAGCCTTAATACTGTATTTTCATTAGAAAATGAGCTAGAAACTGCGTGCTGAGTAAAATAGTGGTGGTTAATTTGCATATTGGAATGGTACCGAATGAGTGTCGATTTTTTCTTTTAACCAATGCACGATTACTCCTCTCATTATTCCTAATTTTTGGGAATGTTGTCCCTTTTCAGCTGGTGTTGGAGGAGGTAATTGGGTTGACAACTAAGAATGGCAATGGGTTAGCTTCGAATGCCTCGACTTCCAAATGTGCTTATTTGGCAGGTTCTGTGGTGGTTATATATGACATGAATTTGGGTACTCAGTCACACCTCATGGTGTCTAATAGATCGCCAAAGCCTTTGAGTTGTGTAGCTTTGTCACGAGATGGACACTTTGTTGCGGCCGGAGAGGTAAGGGTCAATCCTCATAATTTGGTTACGATATTAATGTTCTGTAATTCGCACTGAAAGAAGTCCCAGACCCTATAAATAAAATAGCTTCATCTTGTTGAGTTAGCTCTAGGATGATGCTTTTTTAGGGTGAATTGAATTGTATTTTTATTTTATTTTATTGATTTTCAATTCTTGAGGATATGGATTTGTTATTTTCTTAATAATATTTGACTCATCCCATTTGATGCCTAAGGGTTTGTTTGAAGTTGGACAGAGTTTGACAGGGAAAGGAAGGATGGATTTTCATTTCTAAATTGTGAGTTATAAAATGTTTATAAAAATGAAAATGAATAAGAAATGATTATAAGGTTATCTAGTAATCTCTCATTTTTAAAGAGGACAAAGCTTAGATAACATCTTTACGTGCTTGTGCTGTTATCCAATAAAAACATATCATGCGTATCAGTGCATCACATTTTTAGCCACCACACCATTCTTTTTAAAGTGTTCATCTGTTCGTAGTTGGGGTGTATTTTTATTTTATTTCTATTTATTTTTATTTTTATTTTTTTGAAAAAATTACACACTTCCACCAGATAGATTATTAAATTACCCTGCCCTGCCCTCCCGTCTATTTTTTTTTCCAAAATACACTTCTCTCTCATGAGAGATTAATGTATCCCACTTTAATACATTTTAATGCGAATGTTCTTTTCAGGGATACTTATTCTCTGATTCATGAGATTGGAACTTATAAAAGATGATATAAATTTTTTGGGTCATGTTCTAAAGCAGTAAAGCCAATACTAAGGATGTTTATACCTCTTCTCATCTTCTAAACACCTAAAATCAATTATAGGATGTTCAAATTCGTAGCCAATGACAGTTGATGCTGAAAGTTGCAGAGAGGAAAAAATTTCTTAAGATGCTAGTTCATAGTTTCTCACCATTTCTAAAAGGTTTTGTTTGAAATAATAATAGTACGTGTACTTAGGAAATATTACGTTCATGTATCTCATGTTAAAATCCATTTAGTGTTCATGGGTACTAGTGTCTAGAAAGTTGAACTCAATTAATATTAGCCTAAGGAAATAGTCTCCACTTGTCTATTAAGAGCCTGTATCGATGCCTTGCATAACCTATGCACTACATTCTCTTGAATAATAAAGCTTTCACCATTCCCTAAATTATCCCTAAAACATAATGTTCAATCTTTTTGGTTGTTAGTACAAGTGGTTAGGCACTTGTGATCCTTAACTCAAGGGCCGGAGTTCGATTCCGATTTGAGCATAAAATTATGATTAGAGGTACCACTTTACCCTTATAATGACCAAAAAGTGAGAATAAGTTACATCTCCTTATTAATTAATAAATAAAAAAAATCTTCCTTGAAATCTTCCCCTCCAAATTTTATAGGTTTGTTTATATTAAAATGGACTTGATATAATATAATCACAAAGGATTACAAGTATTCTCAACTACTTCTGGCTCGTCAACTAGACGCTAGTATTCTTAACCACTTCTGGTTCTACAAGTACTCCCGACCACTCCTGGCCCGTCAACTTCACTCACCAACGCTATTATTCTCAACCACTTCTGGTTCACAAGTATTCTTTCTACCAGACTCTTCAGGCTTTACAGCAGTTGTAAGTTTTAAATGTGTGTATTACTCTCATAGAGAAGATTGGATAATTTCTACACTCACTAAGGTGCCTAACCTTAGTTTTACTGAGATAGGTGTCTGAGTGTTTGGTTACTTTTGTAGAGAGGAAGAACTATTGGCAACACTCAAACAGATATACAGGAAATATATTTAGAGAAGAAAAAGATTGATTTATGCCCTTGATTTTCTTTTTCGTATTGCCCATTTTTTTTTTCAGTTTCTCTGTTCTCTCTCTTCTTCTTCTTGGCCTCAATATTTATATACCATTGATAAATCTGCCTGTTGCTTCTAATTTGAATTTTTTCGTTGGAGCGTAGGCTTGTGTCGTTGCAGATGGAGGTTTCGTTCATGTTCATGCAGATCTTCTCATTTAATGCATTTGATCTTGCATTAAATGTTTGCTTGTATTTGTGGAGCTTTTCTATGTAGTGGATTTCATCGATATCTGACTCCAATCATGATCTCGGTATATTTGTACTTTTCTCATCAGTTTAGCCGCTACAGTGCTGTCCTTTTCTAAAAAGTAAGTGTCCTTTCTCTGACGCACTCGACTTTGACTTGTGAATGCATGCTTGCCCAATTTTTTATTCACGATGATGTCCTCTTATGTATTTCTTGTGTAATTCCTTTCAATGTGATTAACGAACTTAAGACGTGCTTCAACATTCTCTACATCGTCTGTTTACAAGATATTATGTCTGATCTTGACGACTCTTTTCGTCTGAGTGTGGAAGTGATAACTTCGTCTTCTATATTAGTTCTTTCTGATAGTCACTTTATTTTGATGCCTTGGTCATTCATATCGATGTATTGGCCAATACGCATCTGATGCCTCAGGCTTTTGTTGGTAAACTTTGTATTGGATTCGAGCCTGAATCAGCCTTAGTCTTGATGCTGGCCTTTCTATCATCTGACATTTTGTCTAGCCAGATTATGCTTGAACATATCCCATTGTTTGGACTTTTCGTTATCCAACTGAAACACTAATGCACATGTTAGTAATAACAATATGTATTATATTTTTCATATTGAAAACCTTGGTAGGAATTGCGAATGCGCTACGTCTGACTTAATAGAGTGTTAGACTTATAATCTACAATCTTAGAATTTAAAAAATTATGTAACACATGTTGGAGGCATGGAAACAAATGCTTCGGATGAATTCATTGTGAGCATTTGAATGTTGAAGAATTATTAATAGAATTTATAGTAATTTCTATAATTTTTTTCATAAAAAATATTCTTGTAGAATTTCTTGCAAAAATATTTGCATGAAACTTTCCTGTGAATTTTTTTTTGCAGGAAACTTTCCTGTGAATTTTTTTACATGAAATTTCGCAGGAAAATTTCTTGCAAATTTTAAAATTTGCAAAAATATATTATCCACGAAGGTATTACCTACAGATAAAATTTTGTAGGAACAACGTTTTCCTACAAATTTTTCATAAAAATTTGCAGGAAAAGTCGCATGTAATAAGAGAAATTCTAGTAGTGATTGTGGTGCAAAAGATGATATCCGTTTAGGGTCGAGACTTCCTTGAGAGGAATTGTAGACACCCAATTTCATCCGGGCTCACAAAAGCAATGAAATAGATGTCTATTATCAAGGAAAGGAGCTCCCGAAGCATGGAAACAAGAGGACATGACATCAGAAGACCTAAACCCTAAATAAGCTGGTTCTGATAGCCCAGAACGGGCTGTTCCAAGACCAGAACGGGCTGTTCCCAAAATAGAACGAACCGTTCCAAAATAGGATGTTATAAATAAGATTTGAACCCAGAACAGGCCGTTTCACCTTAGGAACGGGCCATTCCAGATTCTTATTTTATCTATAACAAACTTTCCCAAAACGGGCCGTTCTAAAAATGGAACGGGTCGTTCCAAATCATCAAATGGGCCTAAAACCCTAGTTTGGAACGGGCCGTTCCAGAACAGCTTGTTGTAAGTAAAATTCGAACCCAGAACGGGTCGTTCCACTTTTGGAACGGATCGTTCCAGTTTCTTATTTTACCCATAACAGACTAGCCCAGAACGGGCCGTTCCAAATCCAGAACGGGTCGTTCTGGCCCCCTTCTGATGCCTATAAATAGAAGACTCGGGCACAGTTCTCAGGGCAGCCAGAGAAATTTTGAATAAGACTCCTTTGAGCACGAAAATTCTCTATCTCTCTCCCTTCTATTGTATTTGTTGAGATTTGTGTCACATCTCTATATTCTCTCTCCTTCTTATTGTATTTCTTGAGATCTATGAGACATACTGTAGTGTGAAAGGTCGCCACAAAGCACCTTCTCCATATTTGAAGATTCAATAAAGCTCGTTCAAGAGGTATTTTAGTCAATCTGCTTCTCTTCCTTTTATTTCTCATCTTTATCTCTTTTTTTGTTATAATAAACGTCATAATGTAGATATTTTAGGGTTAATCGCTTAATTTTTATTTTAAGCATGTAAATAAATATTAATAAAGGGGATTCAATATTTAATTTATTAATTTTTATCATGTTAATTTCATCATAGGGTACCGATTTAGGGCGTTGTAGGGGTGCTTAATACCTTCTCTACATGTAATCGACCCCCGAATCCAATTCTGGTTATCAAGGCCATTACTGGACCTTAAAAAAATCTTTTCTTTTTTCAATGTTTTGAGTAAAACATTGGTGGCGACTCCATGAACCTATTTTCAAAACTATTGATTAAGGATTAGTCTGGTGTCCGAGCATTCTTTAATTGAAGAGATCTTTAAAAGGATGTCTAAACCATAGGTCGCGAGATCAGAAATTTTTGGGTTGCGACAGGAATTATACATTGACTAAGTGGAATATTTTCTGTGAGTTGCAGTCATGGCCAATCATGCTTGTGTAAAACATGGTCTTGAAGCCTATCACCGAGGGGATCGAGCTGAACTGTAAACTTCATGAGTTTGAGAGGACGATGGTTGAGGCTTTGGAGACTAACAACAATTTGATGTTGACAAAAAGAAATACGAGGTGGAGCTAGATCGAATGCCTTAATAGGTTGATAGTTTAAAGCTTTAACTTCAATTTAATGAAGGAAAAGAAAGGGAGCCAAAGAATCTGGTTGGGCTGGAGTGGAGCTTGCAACTTACAAAGAAATGCTAAACAAAGGGTTTTGGCACAACATGAGGTTGGATTTAACTAGGTCATTTGGAAGGTAGGTACTTATGTGACCTACCAAATGATTTTGAGTTTGACAATGGTTAAGACTTCTATAGGGGGTTTTCACGTCTTTCACTGAGATACCTCTAAACGCTAAGTTGGATGTTGAAATCCTTAGGCTAGGTGCTTATGTGACCTTTTGAATGCTTTTGAGTTTGACATTGGTCAAAACTTCTATCAAG